CCTGCTAGCTAGGTCCACAAATGCAACGCAAGGTTAGATCTGAAAAGGAATAACTAAAAACACAAAAATAAATCCTGGAAGGTGACACAGTTAGGGTAAGTATTAAGAAAAAATCTTCCCTATAAAAAGGATTACCAATTCTTGGACCTGCCTTCCATGGGAAATAAAAGCTTATTTGCTTCAGTTCTTAAAATACTACCAGTTTAACTATAGGACACAATCTTGTCCCAGCAGTGAGGACTGAGTGGAGGATTCAGATACCTTTGCCTGAGGAGTCTTAGTGGTGGAAACACTGTCAATTGAAAGTGGAAAAACAAATAGAAGTAAAAGCCTTCAAATGGCAGCGTAAGTGAATGGTTTGAACCAAACTGTATCCAAGTTGCCTACAATCCTATTAAAAATAAATAATTAATTTCTCAAGAGGTTGGACTAGACAGCCTTCAGAAGTCTTTTCCAACTGAAATTATTCTATGATCTAGGGAAGGACGTTGGTGACCTGCTTAAGCTTTTGGATATGCAGTAATATAATTTCTTTTCCTGGTTCCAAGGTGACTGAACTGAAATATACGGCTATAAAACCACTGACTACTCTACCTGACATGGCTTCAGTATCTAAGGGTTGTAAGCAGGCTATACATGGCATTTGCTCTTGTCACAGTGACCAGAAATTGAACATTTGCTAGAGGGTGAAATAAGTAAATATTCTGATTTGCAACCAAATACATATCGCAATTATGCAGATCCAAACTTTTCTGAACCTTGAATGCAGTTTGGAAGTTTAGTTCATGACCACACATCGAATTATGAGAACAATGAGGGAGAACACATAGATTGACAGCTAGGGTGTAAAACTCCCATTCTTTCCTTAAACAGAAAAATGACGAAAACATTTATTATGAAACATATTTTCCATTACTGTATTGTAGAATGTAAACAAGTTCTCATGACATATGGGGCCATGTGTTTCCTTAAAGAGGTGTTATGTATGTCAGAAGCAGCATATGTACCGTGTGATACAGCTACCACCATGGTAAGCATTTGTTATTGCCTAGTGAACAGGTGCATAAAATCCCCATGTAAACAGATGTCATAGCCGCACTGACATCTCTTACTCATGTCTCCTCCTGAAGGAAAATGAGGGGGTTTGTTTCCCCCTCTTGGGTGTTTAATGTGGATGGCCCAGACTTGCATATTTGCAATTTCCCGCTCTCATACATATAGCTTCTTCTTGATTGCATAGTGGGTGTTAGAAGGCAAAGTCGCCCAAGGAAGAACTGTTTTTCTGTAAGAGATTCCATGATAATGCTCCTTCCAGGAGACTCCATACATATACTGTTGCTGCACAGGTCCAGTCTCACAGAAAATTGACTCAATTCAGAGAGTCCTGAAAGGCACAACCACATTATCTTTCAGCTCATCTGTTAGTCCCTAAAGGACAAACTTTCCCCAAGAAA